AGTAGGATAGGGTCACCTGGGCACTAGTTAAATGTCGATAGTATAAGTTTTTGATGTGTGCAAAAGATACCACCTTATCTAGCTTTAAATTTGTAACCTAACTATTTATCTATTATTGCACCTATAGGCAGTGTACCTAGTCAATGTATAACGTAGTAAAGTAAGTTGGGGTCGACCACAGGGAGTGGATTTAATTAATTAACATAATCAGTAAAAATTAACCTAAAACAAGAAAAAGTTAAATTAGTGTTTTTATCTGATTTTGCAAGTTCAGACAAACTTAAACTCTTTAACTACCGATTTCAATCAATTACAAAGAACACTTCCATTAGCTCGAATCCAATTCTCCTCTATGGTTAGCTACTAATTATGGATTATTAATGTTGGTTATCAAATATTATTTTATTAGCAATTCAAATCCAAATTTACTAATGTTTTCACTAATTCATGTAATAATATGTATGGTCATACACTAGCAAACACATAATCAGTTATAGAATGTAGATAAGCTATGTAAAATTTATCCAATTAAACCCAATTATGGGCACAATTTATGTGCTCTAGCACAACTAAATTACTTACTTTTATCACTAATCTAATATTGGGTCGATCCTAGCTCTAGTAATTTAATAGCCACTAAACTAGTAGGTAACAAGTTCATGTAATATAATGGTCACTAAGCTACATAGAACGTGAATTCAAGCAATCAAAGTATCAAATATTAACATGCTAAGTAAAGACAAACAAACACAAGCTCATAAACAACAATTAAAATTCATAATTCAATAAACTAAACCATAGAGTTAAAGCGTCATCTAGCTGAATTTATTCTTTAATCTCATGGCTGGAATCACAAACATAAATCCAATAATAAAAGACATAATCATAGTGTACCAAACAAGGAAGATGAATTTATTCTTTAATCTCTCGATCTTCAATTAAATCTCCTTACTAGAATGTTTACTCTCGGTTTTTATGAACAATTCTTCTCCAGAAATCTCTCTGAAAATCTTCCAAGCCTCCTCAAACCGTGCAAGTGAATGAGTATTTATAGTTTTGAGAATATTCACGCTTCACGACGTTTAAGGATTTCACGTCGTGAATTTAAGATAAACCCTTATCGGGAAAGGACTTTGACTTTCCGTGCACTTCACTTCTAGAACACTCACTTCACGTCGTGAATGTGATGGCCACATCGTGATTTGAAATTTTTGCAGGGAATTTTCTTCTTTTAATTCTTCAATCCTCCAAATTTTCACTTCTTGTCAATTGTGGTCCTTATTCTTCAAGATTATTCCTTTTGGCTGTAAAATATAATTTAATCTCATAAGTATCATATATTTTTTCAAATAAATAAAATATTAAATAAAATGTTTAAAAATATTGATAAAAATGTGTATAAATATGGCAATATCAAATACCCCACACTTATCCTTTGTTTGCCCTCAGACAAAACTAACTTATTTTTAGGTCAAACTCTCATCACCAGCATCACATAAGACAATCCATTTTGAACTCAGTCATTATACCAAGACCTCAATGTGTATATTCGTGTCTAAAATTCTAACAACTTCCCAATCCTAAATACTCACAATCCTTATAAACCTTCACCCATTAGCTTATACGACACTCATTTTTGCAACCCTCCGAATCGATCCTCAGAAATCTTTCTTAACCTCAAGGTATTTTTGGTTAAGCTAACCAATCATACATAATCCAAAAAATTTATAACTTTAGATATCACAATGAAATTATTTGGAATTCTTCACTTCTTTGAATAATTGATCTTTTATTTCTTTGAATTCACCACCTTTATTATTTTATTTTTTGGTATCTTTAACTTTTTGATTCTTCAGAATTTTGATTTTTTGATCTTCATACTTGATAGCTCCAAAATTCCTATAACTTTTTGGTAATTTCTCTCTCTCTCTCTCTCTATATATATATATATATATATATATATATATATATATATATATATATATATATATATAACTCACTTTTTTCGCTCATATCCTACATGCTTAAGAAAATGAGCTTAACTTCAATAATTATTGGTTAGAGGTATTAGTCTAAGTGCAATGACTACATAAGCTCTAATGGATAGATTTCAGGTACAGGATGCAAAACTTTTTATTCCATATAAACTATCAGATTACCTTTCATATCTCATGACTTTTTTACTAAGACTTAGGAAGCCACAAATATACTATAACATATGTTGGCTCAATTAAACATTTGAGCTTGAATTTGGATCATCCCACATAACACTAGTAGCTTAAGTTTAAACTAATACTAGATTCAATTTTTAGATTATTATTTCAAATTTATTTTTAAAATTTTAAATTTTCGCAATTGTCTAGCAATTTACTTTTTCGACCCCTACTGTAACGTCCCAATTTTCGAGTAAAAAAAAATTCGTTTTAAATTTAGTAATTTATAATAAATCGTTTACTGAAAACATTATCAATATCATATCCATCCATAAACCATCATAAACATGTCTTAAAAGAAAACATCGAGCAGTAATAAAAATCAGAGTACAATCCCAGAACACTCAATGCGGAAATCGTGTGTGTGTGTGTGTGATGCGCTGCTACACCGCTAGCTCATTCCCCTTGGATGAAGAGGTACCCGAAACCAAACCTGAAAATGTAAGCACAAAGGTTAGTGAGTTCCCCCATCATACCACATACTATACAATCATACATGTTGCGGGGCAATTCTGGGCTGCTGACTACCCATGTCAAGCTATTCTGGGGTGCTGACTACCTATGTCAGGACATTGTAGGGTGCCTGCCTACCCTCCGCGTCTATCTCACCGGGTTACATGGACTATTTCACCCCAACTACTATCACATAACAATCTATCATAACATGCTGTCAGACAAATCTGGGATGTTCGACCTACCCTTCGGTCCTAACAACCAATCGGGGGACTATTCCCCTCCTAGTACTACTATCATATAGAACATAGCATACTAGCATAAAGAACATATTAAGTAATAGCAAACCAGACAATTATCACAAAGACAATCATCTCAACGGTAACCAACTACTAGTGGGTCGGCCTTGGTGCCTTAGACCCACTTCTACTGGATGGTAACTCACCTCGTAAACTGCGCGTCGAATCTGGCAGAGGAAATCTCTAACAGCTGTTCTGATGACTCTCGGCTATCAGAGACACATAAGTCTCAATCAGAGTCTATAACACTACTCAAGGTAAAATGATTGTTTTACCCTTTGGTCCATTTGGGACATACTTAAGTCCCGATTTGAACTTATCAAGCCCAACTCTCTTATGGCCCATTAAGGATTTCCTAAGGGCCCACTCTTTGTCTAATTTCTGATTTAGACCTTATTTCCCCAAATGGGCCCAAAATTTCCAAGTCCAATATAATAATACTCAAGGGCCCAATCTTGGACCAAAAAGTACCCAATACTCAAGTTTCTTATTCCTAAGTTCAAAATGATACTTCTCAGTGGGCCATGAGGCCCAAAGGTCTAGACCTATCCTCTTAGGGCCCAAAAGCCCAATTTTCCTAATCTGCATGCGTACACGTGGCGTGCCCTGCATGTACGCCCAACGTACGCTGGCCTTGACCAAGACAGGAGTTTGACCCAGTACGTGCGACGTACCAAGGAGTATGCCCAACGTACTGGCCAACTTCTTTGGGACTTTATTCATGACTTAATCCGTTAAGTCTTTACGTCCAAACTGCAGATCCAGGCCCTTTTAGACCTCCTAAACCATAAATTCATGAACTTTATGTGCTTGCATGCAAGGTTGGGGTGAAAACA